CTTCTCTCTAAGCTACACCCGGCTCCAAATTTTCTATTTCAAATATCCTATATGAATTGCCTGGCGACGCAAAGCCTACTATGAAAAATGTATATTTAACTGATCCAAAATCTTTGAAATATAGGGATTTAAGTTTATCTTGTTTAAGTTATTAATTAAAATTATTATATATGAAATATAGTTAGATTTGAATCTACTTTGATGGAAAATTACAAAAATTGTAGTTTTCAAATGTCTCTTATGGGTTTAAATTAGGTTTACTCGACGAAGTGGGGAGATACAGTATGTTATAAAGTTCACGTAGGCGCGAACTGAGAAGTAATTCATTAATCAATTGATTTATATTTAGTTTGATAATTTACTTAGCTGATATTCTGAATTCTGGTTATTCGATATGTGCACCACTGTGCTGGGCTCTTGCTCATGTAGGCGATAGCAACAACAACAACAACAGCAACGATAACAAATTTGATGGTGCCTTGCCTATATTTCTATTTATTTAAGCGCTGCACGTGCAGCAACAGGCAGCAGCAGCAAAACTGCAAATTTGCAGCTTGCAACTTGCAACTTGCTGGCTGCAAGTTATTTGCCGCTTGTTGCTGCAACAGTGGATATGGAAATGATTGCTCATATTGCATTCACACGCACCGCCTCGTCGCGTGAAATTTGTTTTTATGTCCAATATTAAACGTCTTTTCAATCTGGTATGAGTTGATTAAGTATGAGCAAATCAAAAAGAAATAAATTATTTTTCGTTATAAATTTAAGTTTTAATCAGTCATAAATTGCTAGCATCTACATCTACTGTTAGACAAACTTTATCAAAAAATATTTTTACCAATATTATTATATTTATATTTTTTAAATTTTATTTATTTATATTTTTTCTCGCTGTGCTTTGAACCGAAACTTCCATGTTGGCAAGTCAGGTCCCTTCCCACTAAGCCACACCCACCCCAAGTTTCCTATTTCAAATATCCTATATGAATTGCCTTAGCCTAGCCGCTTAGCCTACTGCGATTCCTGATTTACTGATCACAAAGCTATACAACAAATATTCCATTGGAGGATCGAGGGATTTATGAGTATATTTATTTTGTTGGGTGGAATAGAATTCGAACCTAGGGCTGAGGCGGGATTCTCTAGCTTCTAGAGGGTTTGGGAGTTTGAACCTTGACTTCAGGGAAAATAAATGTAAAAAATTTAATTTCTTACAAAATTTATATTATTCTGTTCTGGAGAAAATATGTCGAATGGTTTGTGTTATATTTTAATGGGTATCAGCAGCTGCCCTCTCTCTCTCTCTCTGTCTCTCTCTCTATCTCTCTCTGTCTCTCACTCTCTCTCCCTCTCTCTCTGTCTATCTGTCTCCTCTGCTGATCTTTTCAATTTATAGCTGTCCTGTGTATGTTGCTCGCAATTTGTTGTTGTTGTGGCTGCCTGTCGCAGCTGACATTTGATGGATGTCTTTTTTTGGTGATATTTGTGTGTGTGGCGCACGCTTTGATGGGGAGTTTTGATTTCGTTTTTCTGCTGGTAGGAATAGGGGAACTGGGGGAACTCATAAAGTTGGAAGTTTTTCGGCTGCGTTAATTATGCGAGGTGTTTGCTGTGGCAGCCAGCCCACATCGAACGGCATGGAAAGGCCACTTGCTGCATCTGGTATTGGTAACAAAGCAAAGCCTTGACTTCAATAACAGCAACAACAGCTAGCTGCAGTTAGGCTAGCATTTGCAACAATTGGCAACAAATGCTTAAATCGAATGAGACAACAATGCAACCAGCCACAATGCCACAACAACAACCAACAAAAGAAACAACAACAGCTGAGTTATGTGCACTTAAAGCAACTTTGTGACCCTAAACTTTGCCACAAGCCGAACGCACACAGCTGAGCAAATTGCTTGTCAACCAACGATCGAAGGCGGCTGCAACATGGGGCATGCAGCCATGCAGCCATGCAGCCAGCCAACAGCCTCGACTGAAAGCCCAGCTCAGGAGTCTAGCCAATAATTACATAGACTGATTTGATATGCTGTGCTTGAGTTTTCCTCTGTGCTCTGTGGAAATTCGTTGGGTTGCTGCGGCAGCGTGAAGCATTGGCCACGCCTACGCGTGCCTAAGCGTGGGCAACTGAGCTCTTATCTGTTGAGTCGGTCATGCCCATCTGGCTGGGGGCAAGGGCAAAGCCTTGGCCCAACCAGCACTGAACTTTAATGAGTTTTCCACGAGCAGAAAAGAAGAAGATGTTCGAAGCGACAATACAGAGAGTAAGTGCAAAAAAAATTCTACATACATTAATTAGATGAATTGTAAAATGTATATGCTTAAAAATAAAAATAAAATAATAATTGGCCAAATGTTGCGTATGCTCAATCTGCAGCAGGAGCAGGCGGCGCTGCAATTGAAGGTGTTGCTCTGCTTGTTGCTGTTGTTGCTAGTTATGACACATTTTGATTTATGTGGCGGCTACAACAGCAACAAC